ATAATTTAATACATTTTCATAAATTATCTATTAATATTAAATATAGTTTCGGCATTTTATACGAAAATAATGCAACACATTCAATCGAATCATAAAATAATTATAATAATAAATACAATAAACTATTCTTAAAAATAACAATGAAATGCTATTAAAAATGCCGAATTAATAATAAAGTGGTTTATTAAAAAATGGAACCTAAATTGAAGCTATCAATAAACTAAACAAGAACTAATAACAATCCACTGTTTTCTTTTTAAAATTTTCCAATTAAAGCAAAGAAAAACGAAATTTTTAAAAAAGGTTATAGAACTAAAAATACCCACATGAGTGAACAAACTTTGTCCTTTAAGGTCTGTATCATTGGGAACGAAAAGGTCGGGAAAACGAGTCTAGTCAAGCGTCTGTTGTTTGACACATACAGTGAACCTGTTGAAGCATTTGAAGACATTGCTGTTTGTTATTAGTCATTTATTATATACTTTTAATGTTTTAAAGTTATATATATTACTCTGAAACTTGAAATGTTTGGGTTTGGCTGTTTATTTGTTATTTTATTTTTAAATAAGGGTTTTAGAGCTTTTGAATTTGGAGGAAAAGTATCATTCTTCTTTTAAATTATCAAGAATTAGTTGTGTTATAATCGACTTTATTGAACTTGGTGTGGACACAATTAAATAACATGAACTGAAGTTACAATTAAATTAATTAAAACTTCATATATACAATTTCAACATGTTGAATGTTGCTCTCTATGCTTATATGTTGCATATAGAGTATATTTAGAGTATCACTTACTATATATGTATTCAATAATCATAGTGACATACAAAGATTATTGTATTAACGGAATTATTAATGTAAACATATGACCGATAAACGCACTTGAAGGATATAACTTGATGATAATAATATATACCACCCACAAACCCCAACTTCAACCCAAGTACTCCACACCCCAAAATCAAAGTAAAGTTTTCAATTAATTAAAGACAAATAGAAATGATATTAACAGGCAAAATAACTCGATACGATGATGATAACTAACACAACAGGTCAGTAAAAAAGTGACATATATGGGGAAGGAAGTGACATTAATCTTTTACGATCCTTTAGACAATGGGATGTCCACGACTGCGTCGTTTTATAATGAAGCGCACCTCTTGGTCGCCGTCTTTTCTCTGAACACAAAAGACTCCCTTGAGAACTGCAAATATTGGTTGTCGTACGGTGAGCGCTACATCACACGAAAGTACTTGAAAGTGCTTGTCGGGCTTGAAGCTGATTGTACCGATCGATTGTATAAGAAGGAAGACGGAGAAGCACAAGGCAACGCAATGATGTGCAAATACTTTGAAGTGTCTGCAAAGACTGGAGATGGGGCTAAAGAGTTCATGGATGGCATTCTTAACATGCTCTTTGTCGAAAATCACCTCATCGGCACACAAAGCGAAAAACCCAAAAAGGATGGGAAAAAGGGAAAGTGCTTGTTACTCTAACCCGTGTTTTGTCAGTGATTTGGAAAGTTTTGTCATTTTTGTGAGGAAAAGTAAAGTTTATTTTTATAGAATATTTTTGTGTAATTACTCGGATCAAAAATTATTAACTTCTTTTTTAATATTTTGTGGTTAAAATAATAATTGTGTTAAAAAATTGGATTGTTATTTATATAAAAATTAATAATTAAAAATTAACTTGTTGTTTTAATTTTTTTTTGTTAATTCATTATTAATTATATAATTAATATAATTAATAACCAATAATAATAAATTATATCATAACATAATTTATAAAATTATTATTATGTTATAAATATTAATTGTAACAGTTATTAAAATAATTAATGGTATTTTAATTAAAAATATACAAGAACCTAAATTAAAAATACAGGCAGTGAAGTGAAGGTATAAATTTTCAATTGAATACTAAATAAAAGGGTTTTCTTATTTCAAAAAAATTTATTTTGATTGGCTAAAACAGTCATTCTCAATAAAACCCTTATTTAACAAGCCGAATTTGTTCTTTTTATTATATTAAACATTGACATTTTGATTATCTTGTTACCATTTTGTTTGTTTGAAAATAATATTTTATAGTTTTTTTAACCATTTAAAAACTATAGAAAAACAACAATCACACATAAACCAAGAAGCGAATAAACCAATAAAAAAACATCACTTAACTAAACTTGGCAACAAGTTTAACTCCATAAATCCAGCTTCATCACAATCAAATAAATGATAAGTGTGTTTGTTTTTGCAAGCTCGCCCAATAGCCACACTCACAACTTACTATTAATTAAAGATTTTAAAGATGATGAAATAAAATTTAATATTTGAATATTTATGTAATAAGTGGCTAAATAATGACAAAATAACAATAACAAACGTGTAAAATGACACCGTTAAATGTTTGGTCTTTGTTTTCTTTTTTAACAAGAGTTAATGCTTGGTGTTTGCCTATTTTTCTTCTTTCGACTTCAATTTATTTTTTAAGTTCGTTCAATTTTATTTTTCAACTTATTTTTTCAGCAAAGTCGAATTTAAAAATAATCTAAAAATGGGTCTAAATTTTTTCAAAATATTTTTTTAGTTTTATTGACCAAAAATTTAAACCCGAAAAAACAGTTAAAATATGACGTAAAATTGTTCGATTATTCTCAAAACCCTTTTATTTTGTATTCAATTGAAAATTTATACCTTCACTTCACTGCCTGTACAAATATTATTAATTTGTTATAAATTAATTATATATGTTAACATATTTTTATTTTATCATAAAATTGCTATAAATAATAATATATAGAAAATTAATAATATAAAATAGTATATATATATTAATTAAGATTATTAGTTATTTATAAGTATTTCAAAATTCAAACTAATAATTCAAAAACTATAAATTGTTTGATTGGATTTTAAAAGTTCAAAATTGTGCATCTTTTTGAATATATATTTATAAAAAAACCCTTTTTTTTGACAGAATAATGTTAGAAGTGTTATGTGTTAATTTACTGTATTATATAAATATAATACAGTGTACTATTAAATTGTATTCAAATACAATTTATCGCAATTGTAAAAGATTATGTTCTTGATTTTTCCAAATAGAGAATTGATTTCAAAAAAATGAACAAAATTCAAAAGGCAATTTTATAAGTTGAGGTATTAATTAAACCAAATTACTTTAATTGTATGAGAAATTATCAAATAAACCAAATAAACCAATTAATTAATTATTGAATAATAATAAAAAAACTCTCAATCGGCAAAAATCACCAATTTTTATTCAACCATTTTACAAAATTTAAATTGCTGTTTACCTTCCAAATTATAATTATTAATAAAAAAAATTAAAATGAACCATACGCATAACTGAAGTAATTTGGTTAGAGATTTTAGTTTCTTTATGTCAGTTTTTGGAAGTTCACAATTCAAAGAAAAGTTTCCAACGAAACAAAGAAAAATCCTAAAATTGCACCTTTTAATTTCCACTGCAAAATTTTAAACCAAGACGATGGGGAACACACACTCCAAGCATATTCAGTCGAAATCAAATGAGTCGGTTTTGTTGTGTGTCAACCATGTCACAGAAATCCTGCCGACCATATTCTTAACCTCAAGACACTCTGCTGAGGACGAGTTAACTTACAAACAAAATGACATCTCTGCCGTTCTTTCATTGACTACAAATAACGCGAAGTATCCTACAGACGTTCAAACAAAGCACTGCCACGTTCAAGACAGTTTCTTCTTCTTATTAGATCAGACTTTAGACGAGTCTTTAGAATGGATAGATACAATGGTTTCAAGTGGGAAGAAGGTGTTGGTCCACTGCGAAGTTGGGATGTCCCGCTCTGCTTCGGTGGTCTTAGCTTATTTGATGAAACACAACACGTGGAACTTCAAGACGGCGTTTCTCTATATCAAGCAGAAGAGACCAATTGTATTCCCAAATCCAGGGTTTATCATTCAGTTGTACCAATACCAACTCAAAATGGGTATTAAAGACTCAAACGAAAATTCTTTGTTCGTCAAAGAGTTGATTTTACAGGCAAACGCTCTCTTCCAAGATGTCCCTGTTAGACAACTTTGGAACGCTTTCTTGTCAAACGGATGTTGTTATGAAAAGGCAATTAAAGACCAAAGAAGGTTATTGGCTAATTATGCGGGAAGTTCTTAAACACTTCTTAATATGAAATGTATCATTTACATATCGAAAGACACTTGTATTCATCTAAGTCATTGTTCATGTCTATTACATATGTTAGTAACTATATTTATTGTTTAAATTTATTATAACTATTAGTTGTCTCCTTTGGGGTTTCTTTTGTTCAAAAAGAGTTTTATTTTTAATAAGTAATAATTTGTTTTTTAGTAAAATCAATAAATTAATGTTTATAATTATATTTATTATAATTTAAAGTATAATAAATAATTATATTATATTAAAAATTTATTATATTTCAATCTATTTTTTTACAATAAAATTATAACATTTTTTTATGTTAAATTTTGTTTTAAGGTAATGTTTCAAATTATTCATTCTGGCTTAGTTATTGAAGACAGTTATTTCACTCACAGCACCTGACAGATGATGGTAATGAACAACTAAATACCAAAAAGTTATGATAAATTTTATCGGAATAATTATAATCAATAATTGGTAAAAATATAATCGTGTTTGTCCGATATATATAAACACCTTTTACAAAAATGTCTTTATCAATCAAAACTACACCTTCTATTTTATATGAGCTAACACTTATAAACTTCATAAAGAACACCATATATTTCATCAACTTATTTTGTTTTAAAATAACGATATTAAACATTAAAAATTTCAAATGTTTAATTAAAAATAACACGAAAATGTTATATCAAGTGCATAATTCAACAATACGTGTAAATCGAGGTATTTGTAAAGTAATTTGTTTCTGTACAAACACCTCACTGTATAAATAAGAATAAACAACATATGTTATTTGTAATTGGTACAAAGTGGTTAAGAAGTGATTTGATTCAAACAAAAAAAACAAATTTCTATTCTAATAAATCGGATTGATAAATCTCAATACAAAAAATACTGGAAGAGCATGGAATCATCTTTTTAAGATGATATATTTAAAAAAACATGGGATATTATTTCCATAATTGTTAACCAATTTTCGGTCTTAGCCGCTTTTTTCAAAACTTCTGATACACATCACTTGAATAAATAATAAATAGTAAGACACTTATATTATAATAAAGCAACGCCTCAGTCTTCTGATTAATTGCAAAACAAGCAACAGAGCACTTATCATCGAAAATATGAAAAACAAATAACAATATTAAAAAACTCAGAAACTTTCAAATAACAAAAATGGCTGGTTTAACCCAACAACTCGACTTCGCTCCAACAAACGGAATTTACAACTTAACAAATTTGCGGACTCACTTCATGAAAGGGGGGTGTCTGTCCCAACCGTCCCTTCGAACACTTATCAAGACAACTACTACTCTATTCACCAAAGAGACTAACCTCCTTGAGATCTCACGACCTTCCGTTGTGTTTGGTGATTTGCATGGACAGTACTTCGACCTTCTTTCACAGCTCGATGACTTGTTTGTTCTTATTATTTATATAGCAATACCTCCTAACAACTGTTCTCTTCACATAAATAGAAGTCTTTTAATAACCTTTGGACTTCATTTCTGGTTCAAAAAGTCGAATAAGTATTTAAACTCTATTTATAGAATATTTATAATAAATTATACTATACTAAATAGAAATTGTCCAAAATCCTTTGGGCAATATTTTTTCTCCAAAAATAACAAATCGTTCGCGCCAGCTATCAAAACAAGTTCATAAAGTGAACAATTTATCGATTTTGGAAGTGAATTGACTTGAAGAGCGAAGTTCACAGAGACACACAATTTGATCTTTCTGGGGGATTACGTTGATCGAGGCACATTCTCATGTGAAGTGATGATCACGTTGTTGTGCCTCAAAGCCAATTATCCAAAGCGAGTTTTCCTGTTACGGGGGAATCACGAAAGTCGGCAAATGACTGAGTCGTATGGCTTCAAAGCTGAATGTGCGTGGAAGTACTCTGATAGTATCTACGACTTATTTATAAGTCTATTTCAGGCCCTTCCAATAGCCGCAAAGTTACATACGAACTTTGGAGACTTCTTCTTGTGTCACGGCGGCTTATCGCCTTCTATGAAGTACGTTGGAGACATCAATGGGGTCAATCGATTTGTGGAGCCCGTGCAGAACACTTTGCTGTTTGATTTGTTATGGGCGGACCCAATTAGTGACGAGAAGACTAGCCAAGACGGGTGGAATTTAATTGAGTATGAGAGAAACACTGAGCGGCGGTGTTCAGTGTATTTTGGGTATAAAGCCGTTGACTCCTTTTTCAACGAGAACTGTATAGAACTTCTTATTCGGGCGCACCAATGCGTCAAAAATGGGATCAAAGGACTTTACTTTGGGGATTATGGACTTGCTTCCCCACTGGGGTACACCGTCTTTAGTGCCACAAATTACAATTGTAATCAAGGAGCAGCTTTAATTATCGAAGAGACCGGGTTGAAGGTAAGAAGATATAGTGAGTCGACTTTGAAGTATATGTATGACCCTGTTCTTATTAACGGCGTGCTCTTAGGCACACTAGTGATTATTAAGAACTGTGAGAACCTTCTGTTGGATATCATAGAATCTACTTTGATATATGGAGAAGACGAGGAATTGAACCAAAAAAGGACACAAGTGGTTAAACACGATGATGAAATGCTATTGGTTGATACTTCGAAAGTTCATAAAAAAGAAGAAAAAGAAGAGAACAACGGGTGGGGTGATCTCGAGAGTGAAGAAAAAGAGAGAAACATCCTCAAAATGCGTAAACTCCGAAAAACAAAGAAAAACTCGAATAAGGCGAAAGTCATTAAAGTCGAAAAAAGTCCCGAAAAGGTCGAACACGACGAGGAAGACGGATTTACAGTCAGCTTTGTCGGCGACAAAGGCGAAAATGAGAAGACAAGGGAAGAAAGTACAAAGGCACTTAAGAAACGCATTTCGTCGAGTTGTAAAGACACGCGGGACGTTCTCTTAAACATCGAAGAAAGTGGGACTTTATCAAATTCCGTCGCTACAGAGAACCCAACTCAACGTTTGTTTCTTTTTATTCAAATAGAAATGATGTTCAAAATTTAGAAGTAGACTTGAAAAGAATTAGAGAGGAAATTAGACCACTGAGCTTGGCAGAACTCAGAGAAGAGTGGAAGGCGATGAATAAAAAAAGTCAGAAAAAAATATAAAAAATGTGGCAGGTGAAAGACTGCCAATTATATCGGATTGTTCAGATGAGTAAAAAATTTAGTCTTTTTTTTATGGGTTTGGCTTTTGGAGTGAATGATTTGTGAAGTTTGAAAATGTATAATTTTGGTAATTTTGAAACCATATTTTATAGTTTATTTTTTGGTAATAATTGGTTTAATTAATAGTTTAAAATATCATTTAAATGTAATTTTATTTTAACAGTGTTTTGTTATTTATTAATAGTAATAAAAAATTAATGTAAAAATAAAGTTAAAAATTAAGTAGAGTTATGTTAGTTAAATAGACTAGTTATTTTCAAACTTTGTTTTATTAAAAAAATAGAAATATAACCGAACTAAAATAATTAATAAATGACTAAAATAACCATTTTTTAAAAAGGTTTTTTAATAACTTTTTCTGGTAAAAGTATTTTTAAATAGTTCTTTTTATTAATAACTATATTATTATTATAAATTATAATTATTATAATTATTTATTTACTTTACACTATTTAAATACAAACAAAAAATGGTTACAAAAATGTTATTTAAGTATAGTTATATAATATTATAATTTTAACAAAAAATACCAGTAAATTATTTTAATAATAAAAAACAATTTAAATTTTATTTTTGCAAAAATTCGAATCATACGAATATCATTATTTAATTATTTGATTATTATAATGAAAATATTTTTTTTAATTAATATATTAAATAATAATATATTATTAATAATGCTTTAATTTTTATATTTAGAACTACAATTGAAATGCAGTTATTGATTGTTTTTTTAAAAAAAAATCAACTTGTATTTATTTTTTCAGCCTTTAATTATAAATTAACAGCGATTTATATTATAGCAAACAAAATAGCCATCTTTCCATTAAAATACCAAAAATAATTGTGACAAACAAAGACAATCATTTTATTCAAACAAAAAAATGCCAATTTTTATCTTACAATTTGCATTTTAAATTTTTTGGTATATAAATTATAGAATGATTAACAAATTTAATGTATAAAAATTTTTAAAGTATATTATTATAATAAATGCCGAAACAATACTTTCAGTAGAGAATTATATGTACCCCTTTAAACTTATTTCTTGTTTTCATTTTTTAGGGCGCCAATTTATTTAACATTTCAAAACAATCATAGTTATCAAAAGTAATTTAAAATTAGCGTTGTTTGATTCTTTCGCTCTTAAAGTATGAATCTACAAATATCACAATTTACTTATGAGTGTATTCATTATATCAACCATATTATTTTTCTGGGTTGGTCAATCCAAATTGATATGGTGTGGTATCGATTCATCTTTAGCATGCTACGAGTCTCTTCCGAATAACCAAATTTGTGATAATGAACATTTTAGAGTCAAAGATGATGATATATATGTTGAAAATTCTTTCACGAAGATAACCTGTTTATTAACAAACAGTTTAAGTGTTGAATTTATTTCTCAGCCTCAAGAATTAATTACAACCTTTGATAAAGTTGATTTAGTCTTAAAGTATAGGAAAACAGTTGGGCATTATTTCAAAGTAAACAGTTCGGTTTTTTATTTTGAAAATAATGCATTTGTTGAGACAAAACACACAACAACAATTTCCTCTTCAAATGTCACCAAAGGAGCAAGCCAAGTCACGTGCAATGGATATGTCCATAACAATTGTGTTTCTTGTTTTGATAGTGCTTCAAGCAAACATTGTTCAAAATGTGAACCCGATTATTATATGAACAAAATAGGAGATGTTATTACATGCGCAATTGGAGGTGGAAATATGTATTGTGATCATAACCAACAACTTGATGAAAATTTGTTGTGTTGTCCATTTAATTGTAAAACGGCATATTGTGGTGAAATGCGTGGTTCATGTTATGAATGTGAAGAAGGCTTCTTTTTTAGATATGAAATGTGTAATGCATGCATCGAAGGTTGCAGCGAATGTGAAAGTTTTTATATTTGTAAAGTTTGTAAACAAGGTTATTTGCTCACGAGTGATTCCACTTGTAAAACGTGTAATGAAATTTATCCACATTGTATATCGTGCACTGAAACGTATTGCTATAGTTGTGTAGCTGGATATTATAATGATGGAGGGACTTGTTATGTTTGCCCCAGCGAATGTAAACAATGCTCACAATATAGCAAAGAGTGTTTATCGTGTGCAATAAATTACGTTTTTTTACCTTCTCCTCTTGTTGGGTGTGAGTCTTGTATTTCTTTTGACTCATATTGCAAAACATGTGATTCTAGTTTTCTTAGAAGGTGTTATGAGTGCCAAATTGGGTATTATCCTTCTCTAACTACTTACAAATGTACTAAATGTTCTCTGACTTGTGAATCGAATGGGTGTAACACGTATACGGGAGTATGTCAGACATGTGCTGACAATTACACTATAATCACAAATTCAAATACGGCGTGTGAGTTATGTACATCTTATGATTCCAATTGCGAAACATGTTCAAAAACAACAAGAAAATGCAACAAATGTAAAGCTGGTTATTACCCACAAATTGTGTATCCTTATAAATGTATTTTATGTGACATTACATGCAATGGTCAATGTGATGCAACAACAGGATATTGTACCTCGTGTATTCCCGATTACGTCTTGACACTCAACAGAAATTCACTCAAATGTGAGTCGTGTCAAATATTTGAACCAAATTGCAAATCATGTGCTTTTAATGGAGAGAGAAAGTGTCTAACTTGTGTCAATAAATACAGACCCGCAAGTAACGGGACTTGCATCAAATGTGATTCAACCTGTTTGGACAACTGTGATGGAACAAGTGGAATTTGTACCAAATGTGTGAGTGGCTATGTTCCTTATAACCCAACACAAACAACTTGTCAAGAATGCACCGATTTTGATCAAATGTGCATACACTGTGCAACAAACAACACACGAATATGTAATGAATGTAAATTACCTTTTTATCCATCACAATCAGGACAAAATATTGGACAATGTATTGAATGCGACTCAACATGTGCCGATTGTGACACCACAAATGGTAACTGTAAAAAGTGTTCAACAGCAAATTGGGTTGTCACAGAACCGATATCAATACGATGTGAGATGTGTTCCACCTTTGATTCGAATTGTGTGACGTGTTCTGTTGACTCAAGTCGTGTTTGTACAACATGTAAAAGCGGTCTTCGTCCAAACACAACAAGTGGGAAGTGTGTTGGGTGTGGGTTGCACTGTGCATCTGGTGCATGCAACCCAACGAGTGGGATTTGCAACCAGTGTGATACAAATTACGTGTTTCAAAGCACAAAGACTGACCAATGCGAGAGCTGTTCGACATTTGACGCCAACTGCATCACATGCGCATCAGACTCAACAAGGAAGTGCAGTGTCTGCAAGGCGGGGTATTACCCGAAGACATCTGGCGACTACAAGTGCCAGAGCTGTGATGCAACATGTGGTGGAAAGTGTGACACAACAACTGGAGTGTGTGCTGAGTGCACAAGTGGGTATGTGCCAACATTACCAATCACAAACAAATGTGTCACGTGCAACACTTTTGACATTAATTGTGTTGATTGTGTTAGTGATAAGAGAGAGTGTGCAACTGTGTAAGTGGGATGTATCCAAACACAAATGGGACATGCATTGATTGTGACGCAAGTTGTAATAAACAGTGCAACACATCAACTGGTGTCTGCACAGGCTGTACAACAAACAACGTTTTCACTGACCCGCCAGGCAAAGTGTGTGTTGCGTGCAAATCATTTGACACAAACTGCATCACCTGTGCCTCAGATAACACGCGGCGATGTTACCAGTGCGAAGACACGTATTACCCGGGCAGTGATGGTGTTTGTGTCAGATGTGCATCTGGGTGTGCGATGTGCAGCCCAATCACCGGTGTGTGCTCAAAGTGTGTTGCCCAATACGTCCCGAGTGCAAGCGACACCAAGTTGTGTCAGTCGTGTGAATCATTTGATTCGAACTGTTTGCAGTGTGCAAGTACATTTACGCGAACATGCACAACATGCAAAACGGAAGCGATGTATCCACAAGGCGGCAAGTGTGTGCCATGCGATTCGCCATGCAATGGAAAGTGCGACCCAACCAACGGGAATTGTCGAAGTTGTTTGTCTGGATATGTGTTGACAAGTCCTGTTTCAAAAGTGTGTGAGAGCTGCCAGACATTCGACAGTCACTGCCAAGCAAACTCGTGTGCGTCAAATGGAAGCCGCATATGCACAAATTGTACGGCTGGCTACTTCCCACAAAGTGATGGGAGATGTGGAGTGTGTGATACAACATGTGGTGGGAAGTGTAACACAGTGAGTGGGGTGTGCACTGGCTGTTCATCCAACCACGTCTACAACCCAAGCAACACAAAGACGTGCAGAGTGTGCACCTTGCTTGATGCAAAGTGCTCGACTTGCGACAGCAACTTTGGGAGTGAGAG